TGAGACACTGGTGCAGGACACATCTTGTCACTCAGCAAAATTCATGGGAAATTGCCTATGTTCCTGAGCAATTCATTTTTCCAGAAAAATTCCTGCTATTGGCTTTTTTCTTTACTTAGTGGCAACAAAGAAATCTATAAAATTATACTTATGATTGCTAAAATGACAAGATTCACCCTTAATATTGTAATATTATGAGGACATAAAACCGAATGAAATTTTCGTCCTGAAAAATACAACAATTGAAAAAAAATCACTTGTATTTAGATTTAGGCTTAATTAAATTCTAGTTCAACTGTTAAATAATAATACTTCATAGGCGGTGCTGTGTATTTCCTATTGTATCACATAATGAGCATCACACCACATCGTCAGATACAGTGTCTGGTTGTCTCACTTTTGGTGAGGCTTTTGGTGAGGCTGGTACTGATGAGTGGGCTCAGGTGGTGTTAGCCTGACTCCCACCCTGTTGTGGAGTACCCTTACCAATGTTTCTTTTCTGTATTCTAGGTGTTCTGAGATTTTATGATTTTTTTTAAAGATTTTATTTATTTATTTGACAGAGAGAGAGACAGCGAAAGAGCGAACACAAGCAGAGGGAGTGGGAGAGGGAGAAGCAGGCTTCCCGTGGAGCAGGGAGCCCGATGCGGGGCTCGATCCCAGGACCTGAGCTGAAGGCAGACGCTTAACGACTGAGCCACTCAGGTGCCCCTGAAATTTTATGATTATTGATGTGGATCATTTTTTCATTAATTTTGCTGTGAACTCTGTGGACTCTTTCAATTTGGAAATTCACATTCTTTACTCCTGAGAAGTTTATTTATATTATGTCTTTGATAATTTCTTCTCTTTCATTTTCTTTATCCTTTTTCGCTTGAACTCATTATTCAAGTGTTGGACTTCCTGGATATATCATTTAATTTTCTCATCTATTCACTCTCATTTTCCATCTTTTTGTCATTTTGGTCTATTTTCTAAGACATTTCTGAAATTTACCTTATAACTCTTTTAATTTTTTTTTTAAAGATTTTAAGAACTTCCTCTGGTTTCTGAATGCTCTTTCGTTGTAGCTTCTTTATGGACATGATATCTTGTAACTCTTAGGGAATATTATAATATGGCATAATTCTGTTCCTGGCCTTCCTTCTGTTTTCTTTGAGTTCCTTTTCCCCCATTTGTTTTTGTTCTCTTTCACTTTTGTGTCTCTCATAAAATGTATAGCTATCCTTGCCTGTGTTTTCCTATTTAAGAATGAGGTATCAAAATTGCATGACAGGCTCTGTGTTGTCAAGGCGAGCGGGTGAAGATCTAAGCCTTTTTTGCAGGGGGACTGCTGGAGAGGAATCCTTGTATGTCAGTATCTGTACATCTGTTGGGGGGGGGGGGCAGTTTCTACAGTGAAGCAGCCCTGATCCCTGTGTGTTAGTTATAAGTCTGGCTCCCAGCACTCCGGGACATAGGCAGGGGATGACAACTGGGGAAGCTCAGTATGGCGCTTCACTTTTGATCTCAGATATACTTGCATCCCAAGCCAGAGAAGGTACCTGCCAGAGAGGGTGACTTCTGGTCTTTTGTGGGTTGGGGAGGAATAGTGAGTGGTCTGGCTATGTAGAATATAAGGGATACTTCTGAAATTTTGGCATTGATTGGGACAACTCCAATCTGTAAAGTCTTTTAGTAACATTTTATTTTATTTTATTTTTTTTTTTTTAAAGATTTTATTTATTTGAGAGAGAGAGAATGAGAGACAGAGAGCATGAGAGGGAGGAGGGTTAGAGGGAGAAGCAGACTCCCCACCAAGCAGGGAGCCCAATGCGGGACTCGATCCCGGGACTCCAGGATCATGACCTGAGCTGAAGGCAGTCGCTTAACCAACTGAGCCACCCAGGCACCCTTTTAGTAACATTTTAGACAATAAGCCAAATAATTCATTTAAGTTTCTTGTGTTGAGGCCCCGAAGAGAGTAGAGAACAATACCAGACACTGGTAACTGGGACTAAGGTGACACCCTCACACCAAGCAGTCCTGGCAAATTTACCATATTTTTCTCTCTCTTTTTGTATAAGAAATAATATTTTTTCTAAAACTCATTGCTGGGGGTGCCTGGGTGGCTCAGTCGTTAAGTGTCCGCCTTCGGCTCAGGTCATGATCCCGGGGTCCTGGGATCGAGCCCCGCATCGGGCTCCCTGCTCAGCGGGGAGCCTGCTTCTCCCTCTCCCACTCCCCCTGCTTGTGTTCCCTCTCTCGCTGTGTCTCTCTCTGACAAATAAATAAATAAAATCTTAAAAAAATAAAATAAAACTCATTGCTGTACCAGGTTTAGAGGTGAGTTTCCACACTCTTCCCTTCCTGAATATCTTTCTAGGGTGCTTAGAGGATTCTATCCTCCCAAGGAAATATTTGTCCTCTTCTCTTCCTGAACATTTTATTCAGTATTTTACATTTTCTCTGAGACACCCAGTATGCAGGGTCCTTTCAGAGGCAACTTCTTCCTAGTTGTCGGTCTTAAGATCAATAGGACCTTATAGAGACGTACTTTTATTTCTGAGTATTGCAGATTGCAGTTCTTTAATAATAGCAATTTCGTTTTGGTGGATCAGGTGTCACTCAAAACAGTAGAATGCCCACTGGAACCACAGATCACCTCATTGTTTTCAATGGGTGATGATTTAATATGTTACAAAATTGTATATAGCCATTTCTCATGCCTTAGAGCAGTGGCTTTCAAACATTTTTAACCCTGACCTCAGTATGAAAAAATTCACCTTGCTGCGTACACACAGACGCATGTACATTCACACATACACCTGAAGCCAGTTTGGAGAAATAATACCTTTAGGACAAGTGTTAGACTCTCATATTTTTCTATTCTATTTAATTTTAGAATGTTGTGCCCCACAAATGACTTACAATTTGAAATCCCTGCACTTGTGATTCTTAGTATTTGAGGGGAGGATGACAGGTTGTGGACCTTTTTGGCATTCTGATGAAAGTATCGGTATCTCTTCTCAGAAAAAATGCACATACACACATTTTTGCATATATTTTCAGGAGACTCACAGTCTTTAGGCATAAACATAGACTCCTTAGTTCTAGAAGCTTCTATGCTAGATAAAATTTGGAATTATCTTGCTTTCTTGATAGATTTCACCCAGCATGCCTGGACAAATATCAACTGCACAGCAGATATTCTACCCTTCCTCCCTTCCTCTTTCTAAATATTATTAATATAGGTTTGTAGACCAGAGAAACTATGTGACAAATAAAACTTCCTCTTGCATTTCAAGGTTAAAACTCACAGAGGAGCCTCATTCTTCCTGGGCATAGAGTTGGCTTTGTAGTATTTCGAGTCAGGGCATAAGGACACACACTGTATCTGGTAGGTCAGGAGACATTTTGTCCTTTACAGAGCTGTTCCTTTGCGAGGAACTTCACATTATCAGTCCCCTAGCAGCTGCCGCCTGATTTCTGGCCATCTTCGCTTCTGGTGGAGAAACTTATTTATTACCAGTCACCTTCACCAACTGTTCTTTATAACCACCATCTGGTAGTTAGAATGGAGCCACGGCTTTGTGGTGTGAACTTCTGCCTTCTCTCCCTTTCACCTTTCCTGCTTTCTGTCCTTCCTTCCACAAATATTTATTGAGTTCTTTCTATGTGCCAGGCTTTGTTAATGTGAGCAATAATACAATGGTGAGAAAATCTCCATGTCTGGGTGTGTCCAGCCGACCTTGCCCCATTCTTCTGTGGTTCATTATCTTGTGCCACCATTCTTATACTCTGCGGTAGCCCTGCTCCTTACTTCCTGCTTCACTGGGATTTGGCATTTAACTGTTTCCTGCCCACACTGGAAATTTTCATCTGCAATTTTTCTTCTGCCTACAACAACAAACATATATATTTTCTTATGCAGTTTTTCTTTTGCCTAGTACCACCAATTCATTTTTCCCTTTTAAATAATAATGCAAACACGCAAATCTTAAAATATTTCTGTTGTTGATATGTTCTGGGTCACTATTTTGGAAATAACATCATGGGAATATGGTGTTAATGTGCAAAAATCACCCCCTGGGTTGAGAGGATCTTTGAAAGATGTCTTAATAATGGGGGCATTTTCAACTGATAAAATACAGGCTCATAGCATTTGAAACATTATTAGTATTCTTTCAAAAGCAGACATCAATCTCAGAAATCTTGTGTACAAACATGACAAAATTAGAGGGGGTATATCTCAGTGGTAGAGCATTTGACTGCACAAACATGACAAAATTGGTCTGTATTACACTCTGATAAAATCACAAAATGATTTTATTTTCTTCACTTGTTTATGAATGTGAAATATTTGCATATTATTACAATAACTTCCACAGTAGTTGGAATGAAATCTGATACATTGTTAATGGTGTAGTTAAAAATGTGTGCATTGCATCCATATTTTGTGGCAGTTTTCCAGCAGTTTTTTGAAAGGATTCTTAAACCTTGCATGTTTTATAATCAGGCTTGGCAAATAGACACCATCCATGCTTCAGGTTACTTCTTCCAGGGCCCGTGATAGATCACAACATTTTGTCTTGCTGAGCTTGGACAGTCTTACGTCCCCTTCAACATAGTGATCCGGGCTGTTGCTAACTAAGTGCAAATAGTGAGATGCAAGCTATGTGTCATATCGGTTTTGCACCCTAACCATCAGAATCAGCAGAGGATACGAAAATGTCTGCCGAAGGCAAAGGTTGGCCAGTCTGGGGGGCAAAGGGCCAGAACAGTAAGTATGTTAGGCTTTGTGGGTCATACGGTCTCTGTTGTTCCACTGTAGTGGCAAAGCTGCCATAGGCAGTATGGGAATGAATGGGTATGGCCGTATTCCAGTAAAACTTCATTTATAGGAACGGGCGGCAGGCCACATTTGGCCCACAAGCCAGACCTTGCTAGCCTCTGGTTTATTTATTTTTTTAAATTTTTTAAAAAAGGTTTATTTATTTATTTGACAGAGAAAGAGAGAGAGAGAACAGCAGGGGGAGCGGCAGGCAGAGGGAGAGGGAGAAGCAGGCTCCCCACTGAGCGGGGAGCCCGATGTGGGGCTCGATCCCAGGACCCTGGGATCATGACCTGAGCCGAAGACAGATGCTTAACGACTGAAACACCCAGGTGCCTCTGGCCTCTGGTTTAAATCACTGCTACTCAAAGTGGACTCTGTGGACAAGAGCTATCAACGTCATCTATATGCTTGTTAGAAATGCGGATTCTCGTTCTGCACCCTAGACTCACTGGATCAGAATCTCTGGGGATGGGGCCCAGGAATCTGCATGTTTACTAGCTGGCAAGGTGATTCTGATGCCCACTAAAGCTTGAGAGCCCCTAGTTTAAATAACATGGTACTTCTCTTCTTGAAAAGCTTTGTAGAAGTCAGTCGTGAAACCACCTCATGCATTTAGATCTTTAACCACTTTTTCTGTCTCTTCTATGGCATTTGATTTATTCAAGCTTTCCACTTCATGGGTCATTTTTGGGAATTCACATTTTGCTAGAAAATGATCTGTTTCCTCTTGGCTTCAGATTTGTTGCTGATGGTGGTTTTAAAGCAATTCTGTGAAACTTTTGACATTCCTATTAAGACATGGATTTCTGTTCACTCCCCTTGGATCTAGACAGGCTTATGACCGTTTCATCCAGTAGAGTTCTGGCTGAAGCAATGCCATGCAACTTCCAAGGCTGGTTCAGACAAGACGGTGCAGCTTTCACCCAGTTCTTAGAGGGTGGGGGGGAAGTTGACTGACTCGGTCTCCGCCCTGGGGGCGTGGCCACGTGTAAGCTCCCAGCTGTCAGCGAGCACAGTCAAGTGAGCCATCTTGGACACACAGTCTAATTGAACCCTCAGATGGCGGCCACCCTGCTGGCATCTCAGTGAAGTCACATGAAAGACGTTCCCCCAGATGAGCCTTTCCTCACTTGCTGACTGATAGAATCTGTGAGCACAGTCCCTGCTGTTTTAAGCCACTAAGTTTGGGGGTGGTTGTTATGCCACCATTGTGCCTGGGAAAGTTACCCTAGACTTGCAAGTATTATTGTTTTATAATGATCTTCCTGTCCTTCTTATCTGTGCTTGTGATTTCTTTCATACTCTTAATCATATATATTTTGCTCTCAATTTTCTTTAATTAGAGTTGAAGGGGTTTTATTTGTTTTATTAATCATGTCAAAGAATCAGTTTTTAGATTTTTTTATTCTACTATTTGAGATATTTCTGTTTCATTAGTTGAAGTTTTACCTTTATTCATTTCTTTGTTCCTACTTTCTGCTTATTTAATTGTTCTTTTCCTAGTTGCTAAAGGTGAGTAGGAGGTTAATTTCCTTTTTCCTTTCTCTTCTTTCATAGGAAGTACATTAGAAGCCATAAGATTTTTTCTGAGTATAGCTTTCACCTGTGTCCCATAAATTTGGGAGGAAATATTTTCCTCTTCGTAGTTTTCTGGCAAGTTTGTAATTTTAATTTTGATTTTCTTTTTATCAAAGCATTTTGGAGAGTGTTTCTAAATTAAGTAAAGTTTTTCTTGTTTCTGGGGTAGAGGGAAGATCTTCCATTTTTCCAACATCTATAATAAGGACCTATTTCTCTACTACAAGAAAACAAAATTACAACTGTTTTCTCCAGCAGGACCTTCCCTTCTTCCCTTACCAGTAAGTTTGCGTTACGCTTCAGAGTGCTTTTACTTCCTGACTCCCCCATGTGAGTGTTTTAAATGCTTTTGCTTCTGCTGTCTGTCTCCCTATGCCTGACTTCACAAACCTAAGCTGGTTTTTTTTCCCCCAATAGTTTAGTAATATTTGTTTCAGACTATGATTAGGTTCTTATCCATTATTTAGCTCTGATATTGTATGTTCTCATTCCCTTTTCAAGGTACTGTGTGATGCTCCTCCATTCTTCTCTCCATAGATGCAAAGGCTTTCTTCGAACCTAAGAAACAGTCAGGACGTAGCACACCTTTTTGTCCCCCACTCCCACCAGCCTCAAGACCTACTGGAAAATGCTTAATAAATAATATGCTTATTTTAATTCTACTCCTGATTTATTTGGGTATATTTTATAACCCAAATGTTTTGTTTAGAGTGTTGATTTCATTGAAAACTTTGGAAAGAAATATTGCTACACATGCAAAGTTACAGGATGGAAATCAACTACAGTTACATGGAAGGTTTTCATTAAAAATGTCTCTTGCTATATATCTCAAAGAGATAAAGGTTTAATAACTCAACCCTTATTCTTGAAATGAGAAGTATACTTAAGGTAGATTGGATTATACCATTTAATGTTTGAATATGTTGTAGTAAGTGCCATGTAGATTTGTTTGGGATGTTGAAGGTCATTCATTTTAAGATCCTATTTAGGGAAAAATCCATCCTCCTCATTTCCCAACTCCTGTGTAGTAACTTCTGCCCTTTTATGGAGTTAAATGGATTTCCTTTCCTGCTTCCTTGGGCAGACATGCTTTCCCATGTCTTATAATATTTTTCCTTAAGTAACCTATTGAGACATTTTGTGTTCCAATTTCAAAGGTGTATCAACTAATTTTTTAATTAAACATGATCTAAACTTTGGTAAATCAAAAATTGGGATTAATAGTTAGCTTTTTTTCTTACCAAAGTTGGAAAAGCTTACTCTTTTTATCTTGTCCTTTATACCTTTGTTTTTTCTGCCTTGCACTAAAATTATTTGTATTCATGCTACATTATTTACTTTTATATAAAGGGTCAAGGACCTCACTATTTGTTTCCTTCATAGGGCCCCAATAATTCCTTACACGTAGTGGGAGCTCGACCAATATTATTAAATAAACAACTGAATAAATACTTGTAACTGCCATTGTGATAATAGTGAAGTGATTTTAGTAATGGTCCTACAATTTTGCCATGGTAACTTTTTTTTTTAATTATATGGAATATCCTGTTATAGCAAAATTATTTTCTGTATATAATCAAAATATAGTACATAGTACATATACACAGAAGGCAAAATTCTGAGAAGCCTGTTCATATATGGATCTCAAAATCTTTGGATACTTAATAGTTCTTCCACTATCCCGATATGGCAAGAGCAATGAGGTAAGTAATAATTTAGCTATTCAGCACAGATGAAACATGCATATGTGATAGAATATTACTTCTTTTACCTCTCCAAGCATCTAGAGCAGACTTTGACCAAGTTTTGGTAATTCCTACCAATGCCATTTGGTGTTGGGGAAGTGGGGAAATTATATGACAGACATAGGGCAAAATTGGGGACTGGAGAGCCCTCGGTACCTTGGAAATCTGCAGAGGCAGGTACTTTGGACAATAAATGGATTTAGTCACTGGGCACTGGGGATTGCATGGGATTGACTGTTGATCCCAGAGGAAGAGAGTAAATAAGGATAAGAGAAACAATAATATCTAAGCAACAAACCAGATAACTTTCAAAATTTATGTCTAAGCTTTGCTGTTAGTTGATGTATCAAATATTTTAGCAGCTTGTCTTCCACCCAGACTGGGTAAATAGTAGTAAAAAGGAAACCAATTATGACAAATTCTTCTTTTTTTTTTTTTTGTAGTTTTATGGATTTATTAACACAAATACTATGTGCACGTAAGCTTTCTATTCATTTTCTTTGCTGTGCAGCCTGGCATTGGGAATTGGTGACTCTGTCGGCCAGCTGGGCTGCTCTTTCCACGATGGCTTTGTGGTTCTTAGAGGAGATAATGTGAGCAATCTCTGCACAGTAAGATTTGTTGCACGTCACCAGCACTTCAACCTCCTTGACGTTATGGACTAGGAACTTCCAGAAGCCACTGGGCAGCATGTGTGTTGTTTTCTTGTTGCTCCTGCAACCAATATTGGGCAACAAGATCTGGCCTTTGAATCTTCTGTGCACTCTATTGTCAATGCCTCTGGGTTTCTGCCGGTTGCACTTAATTTTGATATATTGGTCTGATTGGTTCCGGATGAACTTCTTGGATGTCTTTTTTTTTTTTTTTAAGATTTTATTTATTTATTTATTTGATAGAGAGATACACAGCGAGAGAGGGAACACAAGCAGGGGAGTGGCAGAGGGAGAAGCAGGCTTCCTGCTGAGCAGGGAGCCCGATGCAGGGCTCAATTCCAGGACCCTGGGATCATGTTCTCTTGGTCTTCTTTTTAACAATCTTGGGCTTCACCAGAGGTCTGAGGGTGGCCATGATGCCGAATAGGAGATGGCTGTCACCTCTGAAGGCAGGGCAGAGGAAGAGAGCTATGACCAGTTCTTAATTTGTATTGTTTGAATTTCCATTCAAGTCTATAGTTGTTTGTTTGTTTGTTTTTAAGATTTTATTTATTTGACAGAGAGAGACAGTGAGAGAGGGAACACAAGCAGGGGGAGTGGGAGAGGGAGAAGCAGGCTTCCTGTGGAGCAGGGAGCCCGATGCGGGGCTCAATCCCAGGACCCTGGGATCATGACCTGAGCCGAAGGCAGACGCTTAATGACTGAGCCACCCAGGCGTCCCCAAGTCTATAGTTGTATGCACTGGATCCTGGATACCCTAATCAAAGTTATTAACTTTTTCTGTGTTCCCACAGTATCAACCTCTATTGAGCATTTAATTATTCTTCCTTGTGTTAAAGTTAGTTGGTCACATAACCAGATTGGCATTTTTCAATACCAGTTTGGTCAAACTTGGGACCATGACTATTACTGGGTAGTGAAATCAAGTTAGTGGAGCGGTGGTAGGGTGTTGTGACAAGAATATATATTTTTTTAATGGGAATAGAATAGATAAGAATAGCAAATAGAATGTATTATAAATACTAAGGATACTTTTTATGAAACATTTATTTCAGTATATGTATATATATATGTAAAAATATATTTGTTATTGTGGGTAAGGTAAAGCCCATTTGAAAAATACTTGACTAGACTGAAAAACTATTTTATTAGGAGTCTGATTGATCTTTGCATTCAATTAATTTTATATTATGAGTACTCACTAAATGCTCCTGGAATGTTTATGGTATTTGTCCTAGTAGTCACTGTGTTAACAAAAAAAGAAGGAATTTTACCCAATCAGTTTCTGATTTGGCTTATATGAATGTAGAGATTTTTTGTCAGGGGTGCCTTTGAGTCTACTACCCATTAGTCTTCTTTAGTGAAAGGGGTTTGACAAGGGTATACACTATCTTTCCTCCTTTACCTTTACCTTTATTACAGGGCTCATCAAAGAATCTTTGCTGGAGCATAATGTAAGGGGTGTGGTCATGATTTAGACTCATTTCCCCTTCTGTTATCCCACAGCATATATTGAGTGCTTACAATTTATCAGGCACTAATATAAGCACTTTCCTTGTATGTAATTTATTTACTCCTTATAGTAACTCTACAGAAGGTGCTTTGTTATCCTCAATTGCATGATGAGAAAACTAAAGCTCAGAAGTAGATTAAATAGATTAAAATCACAGATTTAGTAAACGACCAGGATTTGAATCTAGGCAGTCTGTGGGTGTAATGGAAAGGACACCGCACTGTTCAAGGGCGGAGAGCTCGGCTAGAGGGCTAGTTGGCTCGGAACTTTGCTCAGTCAAGACTCTTTCTTGGGGCAAGGCTGCTAGACAGAAGGCCTCACAGGATTTTGTCTGTTTTTTGGTATGACTGGGCCCTGAAATTAGGTAAAGAGGAAGATAGACTGAAGTCTCACTTTTCTTTCTTTTCTTTAAAAAAATTTTTTATTTGAGTTTAGTTGTCTCTTTTCTTTTCTTTCTTTTTTTTAAGCGGGGAGGGGCAGAGGGAAAGGAGGAGAGACCATTTTAAGCAGGCTCCATGTCCAGCGTGGAGCCAATTGGGTTCAATCTCACAGCCCCAAGATCATGACCTGAGCTGAAATCAAGTCAGAGGCTTAACCGGCTGAGCCACCCAGGTGCCCCTAGTTGTCTCTTTTCAATTAATATCTTGATGCTTTGTGGACAGACTTTGAGATAGGTAGCCAGATGCTTTGCCATTTAAGACAAATCCATATTTAGTCTGCCCCTTCCGATTTACTTAATTGGCAAATTTTCAGGAACAACTGAATTTTTAAAAATTTAGATACAATTTGCACAATATGAAAGTTACTATTTTGAAGTGTATACCTCCAAGGTTGTACAACCATCACTACCTTCTAATTTGAGAACATTTTCCTCTCCCCAAAAAGAAACCTTGTAAATTAGTAGTCACTTCCCTTTCTCCCCTTCCCTCCAGGCATATACAATATACAAATTTACTTTCTGTCTTTATGGATTTGCCTATTCTGGACACTTCTTATCAATAGAATCATATAATATGTGGCCTTTTATCTGGCTTCTTTTACTTAGCATGATATTTTCAAGGTTAATTCACATTGTACATATGTCAGTGGCCAAATAATATTCCAATATATATGCCACATTTTGTTTATCCATTTATCAGTTGATGAACATTTGGATTGTTTCCAACTTTTTGGCTACTATGAATAATGCTTCCATGTTCATTCATGTATAAGTTTTTGTGTGAATATATGTTTTCAGTTCTCTTGGGTCTATACCTAGACGTTGCTGGGTCATATGGTAACTTTAAGTTTAACTTTTTGAGGAACTTCCAAATTGTTTTCCAAAGCAACTACACCATTTTATATTCCCACCAGCAATGTGTGGGAGTTCC